AATGATGTACGTTGTGAAAAAGCAAGCAAAGCAAAAAGCAGTTGTGAAACATTATGAAGAGTAGAAACTTGGCGGGAGCGGCAAAGCTAATAGACAGATATGAGTTTGTTAAATATAGCAGGAGTGAAAATTAAGTCCAGCTCTCTGATGATCTTCATTTCTGAAGATTAGAGAAAATCTTACCCTTGCCAAAGGCAGCTACGTCGTGTCAGAAGTGAGAATATTTATAAAATTAAGCCTGCAAAGTGGACAGTAAGGAGAACGATAAGGTTAGAAGCCGCTATTGCAGTGCTAAGAAATGACAATCAATAGTCAATTAACCGTATTCCTTATATGTAATCTGTCGTTTTAAAACGCATTATTCGTTTTACCCCTCATGAAATTTGACGATGTAAGTCTTATAAACTATTTACACTGGTATCCAATGTAAAACCTCGATAAAGCCTGTTAACAATACTTAAATCCCTCACGGATTAGCGGCACAATAATCCCCATTATGCCGCTAATCCGTGGAATTTCTGATCTTTATTCGTATACCCAAAAGATCAAGTCGGGAGTTGATGCTCACAAGACTTGTCGCTCTAGGCTAACTCAAGTTGAATTTTGGCCTCAAATTGAATTTTGACCTCAAGTTAAATTTTGACATCAAGTTGAATTTTGACCTCAAGTTGAATTTTGACCTCAAGTTGAACTTTGACCTCAAGTTGAACTTTGCCTCAAGTTGAACCTTGACCTCAAGTTGAATTTCGACCTCAAGTTGGATTTAGACTTCAAGTTGAATTTTGACCTTAAGTTGAATTTTGACCTCAAGTTGAATTTGAACTCAAGTTGAATTTTAACCTCAAGGTAAATTTCGACCTCAAATTGAATTTTGAACTCAAGTTGGATTTTACCCTCAAGGTTAATTTCGACCTCAAGTTGAATTTCGACCTCAAAATTAATTTGACCTCAAATTGAATTTCGACATCAAGTTTAATTATGACCTCAAATTGAATTTTGAACCCAAGTTGAATTACAACCTTAAGTTGAATTTTGACCTCAAGCTGAATTTTGACCACAAGTTGAATTTTAACCCAAGTTGAATGTTGACCACAAGTTGAATTTTGACCTTAAGTTCAATTTTGACCACAAGTTGAACTTTGACCGCAAGTTGAATTTTATTCTTAAGTTGGATTTCAACTCAAGTTGATTTTTGACGTCAGGTTGAATTTTGTCTTCAAGTTTAATTTTGACTTAAATTTGAATTTTGACTTCAAGTTTAATTTGACCTCACGGTGAATTTTGACAAGTTAAAATTTGACCTCAAGTTGATTTTTGACCTCAAGTTGAATTTTGTCTTCAAGTTTAATTTTGACTTCAAGTTTAATAGTGACCTCAAGGTGAAATTTTACAAGTTGAAATTTGACCTCAAGTTGAATTTCTACCTAAAAGTGAATTTCGACCTCAAGTAGAATTTTGACCTCAGGTTGAATTTTCACCTCAAGTAGAATTTTGACCTCAGGTTGAATTTCGACCTCAAGTAGAATTTTGACCTCAGGTTGAATTTTGACCTCAAGCTGAATTTTGACCTAAAGTGTATCAGTGATACCTAAAGGGTATCAGTGAACGACTATTAATCTCATAGTTGAATATCCATGTCCAAAATATACAGTTCTACCTCAATTACATACAATGATTTTTTGAAACACTGCCTCCGCGCCTGCGGGGCCATGAACGCTTATTAAAAAGAATTAAAATTCCATCAGTTTGTTCCATACTTAAATAACTTAAATAGTGAACTGATACAATTAAATGAACTAAATAACGGAAATGAAAATTAACGTAAACGTAGAAAAAAGGGAAAAGATTGAACAATAAAAATAGCATGAAAACGACATCATGCATATTGTCTACTTACCGTGGCATTTCTTCTGCCGTGGCTCCCAGGATGCTGTCGAGGGAGTCGTCGTCGGCTAGGATGCGCTGCACGACGTGGTCTGCAGCGACGATCTCTTGCACTGTCTTGTGCGGGAAGGCATAGCTCTTGTGCCCTTCTTTGAATAGTGGCTTTTGCTCCTTCAGTAAAACTGAAAGAATAATGTCTGAGTCAAATTTTCCAGTAGCATCTATTTTTTCTTGGCACTTCTTCTTCAATACAAGGAGCTCCTCTCCTGAAAATGTTACGCTGTTGTCACGCAGCAGCTCCAGCGCCTCACGACCGATTACATCGAACAGGTCGGCAATCAAGACGTCAGTTGCGCTGTAGTCTGAATCCGATAATTTCGACAGGATGCGTTTTTTATACAAGCGAAGAATGGATGGCGCCACGTCCCCGGGCGTCTGCCACGAAGATATCTCATCAGGGAATTCCTTATGTATCTCACAGAAATTAACCAAGTTAATTGGTTCAGTGAATTGATTTCTCACATCTTCACTGAGCAACTTGAAGCTCTTCGTCATCTCTCCAGTCGCAGTGCCGCTGCAAATGGATAATTCATACCGCCCCAAGAATTTAATTTGGTCGTCAAGCTTCGTGAGCGGCATAATCTCGTACTGAGTGAAGCTGACATCGTAGCTCTTAAGGAGCGGTGCCAGCTTCTTCTCCATGGCGTGAGGACGAGTCGTGATCAACACACGGCAGCTAGGGCGCCACGACATTTGGATAATCTCGGTAACGACTTTCATGGAATTTTTGTTGAATTCATCGAAGGCATCGATGATGAATAAGACATCGATACGCAGGAGAGCCTGGAAGACATTATCTTTCCCTAGTTCACGACAAAGGTCTTCATAGTGTTTTTTGATGACGACACTCAGTTTTTTAGTGTTGCGATCCCTGCACTCGAAGAAGACTAGTTGGTTAAAAGAGCTCAAGTAATTGGCAGTCCCCTGTTGCAGATCAAAGAATTGCAGCACGATGTTTTGGACGAGGGTTGTCTTACCAGCACCGGCGGCGCCAGTTACCACAACGACGTTTCCAGTCCCGAAAGCTTCAAAAATTTTTGTGTAGGAGAAGGTTTTTTCGCTATCTGGTGCTTTAACCATCACGTCGAGAGGATGAAACACTTCCCGACGCTTAACCTTGTCGTTGCCGGACAAGAGAACTTCGGAGTGTAGCTTGGTCTCCCATAACTCCCTTACCGCTGGTTTCCCGCTCATTATCAACCTCGAAATACAGTAATGAATGTCGCCTTTGTCCAGGTCTTCAAGCTTTTTAATTTCGGTGCTAAGCTTTTTCTTTGTGTCTTCAGCGGGAAAGTTTGGAGCCTTAGGGTCCAGGGAGGGAGGATAGAATCTCTTAGCTTCTTTTATGAGCTCAAACAGCGTTTTTGTCAGATCAGTGAAATTTTTCTCGTTCAGAAGTTGATCCAAGTTGTGTAAGACTTTGTTTCGCATGTCCTTGACGTCACGCAACTTCTTATAGAGATCTTCACGCCTGTCTGGTGCGTACTTCTTAACTTTGGTTAAAATGTGGGAGAGCAAACAGAAGAGGGCAGTGACATCTAACTTGTCAGGGCTCGTCTCTTTTTTGAAATTTCCTAAGTTGAAAGTGAATACTTTCCTCCATTCTTCATCTGAAAAAGTTTCTTCTTTCTTGTTTGCTCGCAGGCGATCCAGATACTTTATGAAAGTCTCATGATCATCCTTGTCATGACACTCTGTCTTCACAAGCTCTCCCAAGAGCATGGGACTAAGCCGCAAGTTAGCGAATATATTGCATACGCAAATTTTAAGTGTTCTGTCTGTCACACTGCCTGCTGATGCAAGAGATCCGCCAGTCGGTCCTGTGGTGGCCATCTTGCAGGATCTGCAGAAGGAGGAAAAGACCTGAACACAGACACACGGCAATAAATAGGAACTGAACTTAATGCCAATGACATTAATACTTTCGCCGGCAAGCATAAATATATTAAAAAGTTTAAATTTCTGAACCCAGCAAAAGAAAGTATTCAGTTCTAAAATATATTTAAACCTATGGAGTAAATATATGTATCCAATATTAGAATTTGAATATATTATTGGATATATTCGATGATAGGTCATTAGCCTGACAGGATATTAATAAATATAGTCAATCCTATGAATTTTCAAAAATTATGCATATTGGAGGAGTAAATCGCAGCTATTAATCTATCAATATAGATTAATAGCAATAGATTCTATTAATATGGTCATTACGCTAAAAAATATTAGATAATATAAATTCAAACATTCGAATGTAAAGAGTTACTATCAAGCCTCAATTTAATTTAAACTCATCAAAGTAATTTAATTTGTTGAACATATATTGCTACATCGGTCTTTAAAAAAATGAGGAAAAATCTGCATGAGGAAATTGCGTGTCAAAATTGGAATAAATTAAGTCATGATTAATTTATTTCAAGAACGAGAAAAAGAATTTTGATTAACATGGATTTATGGATCTTAAAGAAATCTATATAAGTACAAGTATAACGGAATCTATATTGGCTCCAACAAGATAAGATCCCTACAAAGATAGAAATAATTCTGTTGTGGCCTGATACATATAAAACTGAACTCATTTCATTATTATTATTATTTAATATAAAAAATAAGAAACACAAGGCATAATAATAAACATAATGCTATTTAACCCTCTACCGCCTGACATGAGTTACCGGAGCAATATTGTCACAAAACTTAGTAGTATATTAATATTACTAATATAATATAATATTAGTAATATTAACAATATTAGTAACCGGAGCAATATTGTCACAAGCCTACTTCCCAAAAGGATACATTCTAATGAGCGCAAAATGACTTGCACTGATGGTTGCCGCCACGTACGACGTACGTGGCGGCATGATCTCTGTTGCGTAATGTTCTCTGTTGCGTACAAACGTCCTCAGGTTGCTACACTCAATAGTTTACGTATAATTTGAGTTGAAAGTTATGTTCCCGGAGAGTGGCATATGGCGGTAGAGGGTTAATATCAAATTACTGGAGAACAATAACACTTTAACATTAAAGTTGTAATTATCTGAACCATATAAGCCTACCTCTACAGCTGGTGACTTTCATCACAATGATCCTTGCAATCAGAGCAAAATAGCATAACAAAACGATGATGCTAAACGGGATTATCAACTAATATTTAAATACAGGACTCTACACTACGGTTTACTTTATTCTACTCTTTCTTCTGGCTTTGAAGAAGTCGTGATTATTCTTATCAAAATATTCGAATGAATTCTAAGAGCGTCAATTTCATTTATAAGGGATGATTCTATGTATGGAACGATAGTCCTTTTGGGAGGAGATTGGATTGGATGTGTGCATATATGGTAACTTGCCCGTTGAAAGGTTACTAAAACTAATAGGATTATGCTTAATTGGTTGTTTCAGTCTCAAATCAACTCAGAATTTAGAAGAAAATAAAATTGCAACAAAATTCGCCATATTCTCACTATAAACGTACACAGCTCTGACAGGCGCAGATAACAGAGTTAACGTCGCACCCTAAAGCCTGGCGTGTGTGAAGAGACCAAGACGGTGCTGATAGGAATTTAGTTAACAGAAGGGAATAGGCTATTATTTCCCACAGAAACACAACAAATCATCTACCATGAACGGTTCATCATCCACCTTAAGCGGTCCATCAACCACCTTGCACGGCCCATCATCCATGCACCCTGACCGGTAGATTGTGTTGGCCGGTGCGGAAATTTTTGGGACTGCTCTGTACCTTTGATTTCGATAGATTCGCCCTTCCCAGAACTGATTTTTTTTAATCATGTAATTTCTTTCAGATGTTTTGGGTTTGGCAGTATAATCTATCCTGTGTTCCGAAGAGGAACTATCAGGGTCACGTCTCTCTTCGGCATTACCACTCAACTGCAGGTTGAGTTTAAGGTGGTGAAACCGACAAGAATCTCGTTTGCAAGCTACATTTTTGATGGTATTCCAGCATAGGAACGGATGGTAATATTGACAGTCTCTCCCTTTTTTGCATCCGCGTTGGTTTTTGCTGTTGGTTGAGTTTATCACATAATTCCAGCATTTCTCGTGTGTTTATAAATTTATTTGGCAGTTACCATATGATTATGCATCGAGTTAGTGTTTCACCATATAACTTTATGACAACAACCTGAATACACAAATGAAACTATTGATTGAATAGGTGAATAATGCGATTAAGTCCTTTCTGGTATTAGCTAACTCCACATGTGAAATTCATGCTATTTTTAATGAGCTTTCGATAACCCTCCTTTTTCCCTTCCCTCCACCTTCCTCCTCTCACTGCCTCCTCAACGCTTGAACCATTACCACCGGCATAATCAATGTAAGCCGAGGACATTTCAAGGCACTTGTGCGGCCGTTTAATTGTCCTCACTGACAGAGGCCGCTCGCTGTCCAGGGAAGAGGACGCCATATGCCGTCCGTAGTCTGCTTGCACGCGAGTTCAGGTGGACAAAAAAGGCCCAGATGGACACGTTTGCGAGGTGCCTGCAGCAGCAGCCTCAATCACGGAGAGAATTTCGAATTGGCCAATGGCCTGCCGTAGAATGCGCGTTTCCGACGTCTGAAAAAAATCTATTATACGTTCTTGGCCTAATTTTGTACAGAAACCTAAGCAAGTATGTCTCGTATCAAACTTGAAACGAGAAAAATTATCTGTAATCTGTATATCAGTCGATTCCTGTCCATTTTTCAGCAATCATAAAGCGGCATTACTCTCATTTTTCATATGTCCAGATACAAAACTGTTATTGATGGAATGTATGAAAGTTGAGAGGAAAACCAAGCAGGATGCAAGACTTGATTTAGAGTTATGATCGCTATAAATAATACTCCACACTTATGCATTTTATGAGTCGGTCATAGCACTCACGAAAGAGAAGTATTACGAGAAGTATTTTCCTTATATGATTGGAAATTGACTGTTAATTAGGCAGACAAGCACGAAAGAATTGAATTGACGAGCTAATTGCAACCTTGTATATGTCGTTACGAATTACGGGCAATGAAATGGAACAATAGGCAGATTGAGGACCTGTAAAGTAAGACATATCATAAACCGACTGTATTTTAATTAATAAACAATACAGTATGATAGTAATCCTGAAATTAATTTCAAGGATTCATATTCAATTGGTCTTCCGCATTGCTGCCAGTTTCTAGGATCGTCTTGAAGGTAATGGCTGAGAGCTTGAGGTGAACGTGACTTTAAATTTCTACGTGGCGTTGCTAACTTCACGGAAAAGGTAAAATTTACTTTAAGTAGTGAATCTCTGACTTTTGTGCACTATACCTGTACAAAATGAGGGTTATCTTTCATGGCTTGATTAGTGCCTGGTATAATGATGACGAAATGGTGAAAATTTGTTCAAATGTAGTCAAATCCCTGCCAAATCGTGTTCGAATGCCTATAAAAGCAAGAGGAGGTCATATCTCTTATTATTTATATCTTTTGTACTATTGATATGTTTTTTGTACATAAAGCTTAAAGCTGGCCAACATTCGTCTTATATCAGCGCTCTTCATATTAATTTGCACGGCACTACAGGATGTAAAATACGGAGGTTGGGGAAAGAGGAAAAACCCTCCAAATGAAGTGACAACGATATCCAAAAAAGGAGCTCTGTAGACGATGGATATTTTTGTTAGGAATATAATGTTATTTTTCTAAAACTTTATGATTTCAAAAATTTCAAAAGTTCATTTATTACGTTTTTTTTGCATATAATATTTGTTTTCGTTTTCTCAATAAATTCATACGAACAAATATGCCTGTAAAGTGTTTTGCATTTGAGTATAAAATGTCATCTATATCGGTAAATAAATGAACACTTTTTCTACCCACAGGCTCTCTTAACGAAAAATGAATGCTGAACTTGAGACCAGGTTTGATATTTCATGTCGCTTAAATAATGACAATAAGAATCGCGGAAGAGAAGATCTATTTATGCAGAAAATTTTTAGGGTACAGCGTACGTAGGAAACCCGGAAATGAGCTTTGCACAGAACCGGGAACCTCAGTCTTCGGCGGGGACCGCTGTCGGAATACCCCTGGTCCTGTCCATGTCAAACAGGACATTAACGCAACTCAACGTCAGAGTAGAGAACACTCGGATATACTCTAGTTTATCCTTACTACAACTGAACGCCTAAGACATCAGTGTTAAAGCTCTAATCAATAACCGTGATTCATCCTAAACTTTAAGCCGAACTTTAATCCTAAATAATATTCTATAATCGTTTACGCGGTTCCTCAATATCCTCGGATCACGCTACAACCGGACCAACCCTGATCAGGGCATCCTTAATTACGATTCAATATCGCATCGTCTACTACCACAGCAACCTCTCACAGTGTCGTCCTCATAACCGCTCACAGTGGCGCGGCCGCCGCTGGCGCCGGCAAACAAATAGCAACGGTATTATTGAGTGACTTAGATCAGTGACCACACAGAATGCTGTGTGGGGGAAGATTTCCGAAGATTTAAGCTCTAAAGCATCTACTACTTCTACAATTTGAGGATCGGACTTCGACACGGTCTATAAGAAGAATTCAGCGAAAAAAACGGCTACGGCTACAGCAACTACAGACCCAGCATATACATTAGCACCGCTAAGTAATAAATTGCAAGGTTTATATTTTACCTTCAGAGCGCGACGTTTTCAGGGCATCAAAAAAGATGCAATAGGAGACTTTAAGATCTGCACAACGATCGACATGTATAATAACGCTCCCTTCACGTGGTTCGTAGAAGGGAGGCGTCCAAGAAGGAGATGGGTAGGCGAGAAGATATGTACTCCCGCCAGGAGCATCAGCCTTCCGCC